CTTCATTGGATTTTAGAATGATATTTGCTTTTAATTTGATGGTCTACTTTAACTTTTTCCAAACACCTGGGGATCACTCCATGGCTTTTAGCAGACCAAAAAAAAAGGAAGACGAAGAAATGAAAGCATAGATCAGATTCCTATCCCTTTTAATGCCTGAAAGAAAATCTGATAGGACCTTTATTAAGTCACTCTAAAACATGACACATATAAACTTTGCACAGTAATTTATTTGAGATCATCAATCAAAACTAAATGATCACATTTTTATTTGTTTGTTTGGAATTAAAGCATGAATGCTGGAGTTTTGTTTTTTTTTTTTAATATTTCTTCTGCGGACACATTGAACTGGTTGACCTAATATTGGACAGCTGTATGCATTTAAATATTGGAAAGTTATATAGTTTGAAGTGACTGAAAAATGAATAGGACTTCCAATTGCAAAGTTATTGCTCATGGTAGCTTATTGATATATAAATTAAACTGCTAAAAGGTGGAAGAATGGAAGAAAAAAATAGATTGTTAGATGAGACCAAATTAATTTTGGAATCATTTTGACATTTTATTCTTCTGCAAACAGTATAGAGTTCTCCAGCTGTGCTTGGCATCAGATCACATTCACATTAAAGGCAAACATTTAAGAATTGAAGTTATAGAGCATACAATGGTATCAGTCTATAGTGCGTGTAAATAGATGGATGCTTTATAGAGATAATTTCTGGGAAGAGGCAGAAGCCTGTAAGGAGTAGAGGAAAGCAAGGACACAGACCTGCCTTGGAAAGTTAGGCAGAAGTCCCCAGGCCATGGCTTAGAACAGAGAACGTTAAGGGCTGCTTTGGGTAGAGGGTTGCAAGAGGTATGGGAGAAGAGAATAGCACCAGATGATATAGGGATCCCTCACAGGGAAGCCACACTCACAGTCCCACTCATAAGGGTTCTTCTTGTTCATCTTCCAAGTCCCAAATGACATAGCACTTCTTCAGAGGGACCTTTCCTAACAATTTTACCAAAAACCTCTCCTTTCCTTTTTTTTCCTATCATTGAACCTAGATTTCTTTCTTCATGATCATCTGAAACTATATGCTTATGATATGTTTACATATTTTCTCTCTCCCTTACAAAATTAACCACAATTTGTGCTAGGTCACAGTCATGTTTCTTTGTCAATGTAAACCTAAAACTTAATTCATCACTAAAACTTTGCCTGAAAGATAGTAGGCAGGTAAGAATAATTGTTGAACAAATGGACAGAGCCTAATGGACAACTGTCTGGAAACTGTTGTGGACTGGCTTGCAACCCACACACACAACCTCGGGAATGCCACTCTGCTCAGGGTTCACTCAGGCAGGTGGATATGAATATTTCACATTCAAGCAGTCTTTGGAGATCCGATTTGAACCTGCAGAGGTGGTCTTTCACTACCTGAAAAATCCCCTTAATAATCTGTGAAATAGACGGGAAAATCATCGTTCCCATTTTAATATTGAGAAAATCGTACCAAATGTGAAAGAAACTGCCCAACTTGCATTGCTAATAAATAGCAGAGCCAAGATTTGAACAAGACCAGGCCCTGTGCTCCCTTCACTGCCTCTCCTGATACTGCTCTCATTACACTGGGCACTCCCAGCTGGTGCAAAGTATTGTTTCCCCCTGCATATACCAAGTACCAGAAACTTTTCCCTGAGTTCTGAAAGGCTTCTGCTTCAAAAGCCAATCTGCTGACTGTCCTCGTGGGCACTGTTGTATTACACATCCTTTGCCTTGGAAGATGACCAGCTCTGATTGCTGCTTTTTGTAATGAGACAATCAAGCCCCGGGCTAGTCCCAAACCAGGAATGCCTAAGTCTGAGACTATTTTAAGCTTCTCCTGAGACAGAGATAGGCTTATACAACCTCACACCGGTCATGATTTTCAAAGCTAGTGGCAGAGCTGGGTGAGGTAGATATAACTTTGGTGGTTCCTCACTAAACTACACTTACTAGGGGAGAACACTCTCATATACTGCACACTTGCCAAGTGCCAAGCACTTGTCATAGCTTATCCCAGAGGAGGTGAACCAAAGAGAGTGTGAAATCAGCCAAAGATGTTCTAATTTGATGCTATGATTTAGCATTTAACCCTATTTAAGGGGTTGCCTTGTTATGAACTCTATGTCTGAGGGTCATGAGTGACCCCTTTGCAGTTTTTTAGTCCTCCAAACACTAAAAATAAACTGGTTTGTTTGTCCTGGCCTGTCAGGTGATGATGCCATAGACAGTTGGCAGATTTCAACCAATATTGGGGGACTCCCTACAAAAAGTACAATGCAATACACAAACTAAGAGACTAAGAGGTGGCAATTCCCAAGCACATAGCCAAAGTCAGGGCCTCCCTGCTGCTAGGAAATGGACTGTGAGTAAATCTCAAGCAAGTAAAGACTTGAGTTACACTTACATCTTTGTTAGTCACCTCGGCCTCATTGTGCCCTTCACATGTAAAGGTGTTGATGTACATTCCTTCCTGTAAGGCATTGACATAGCAAAAATGATAAGCTCCGGTAGTAAGTTGACTGGCCCCTTTATGAATAAGGGTACCCAATCCATAGACTTTCCCAATAATTCCAGAGGAATTTCCCAAGCCTCCTGTTTTATTTTTCAGCTATCAAGAATGCAAAGCTTTTGTTCTTTGACAAAAATGTTTCAGGGACAGCAGTTGTAAAATACTTGATTTGAAAATATGTCTATAACTGTAAAGTTGTGGAAAATCTAGGAATGCATTCAAAATCAAAATCTGATTCAGTCCTATTGAAATTAATAAAATATCCCAGCTTTCGCATAGATGTCTGCATATCTATGAGCATGAGTCTTTTTCTCCTTGTAACAGTCTACATTATCAGGAGTGGCGAAAACCAGTAGCAGCAGCAAGAACTTCGTTCTGTTACTTAAAGAAAACTTCCAATATGTAAGTATTAGGAGCAGACTGTGTCATATTTCTATACCTTTCCAGTTCCTGAGAACATACCAAATTCTGCCCAAATAAACATATTGAGATCATGACCTGTAGACATTGTCACATGCAGACCAACTTCCTGTTCTGACTTAAATGTCACGTCCTCAGAGAGGCCTACTTTAACCTTAGTAACGCACCTCCCTTCCTGTTGTTTCCTATTTTTCATGCTGTTTGTGTCTTCAGTCTCATTTACCATAATTTATAATTAATACTATTTTGCTTACTTATTTATGGGATCTCTCCTTCATGTGGTTTCAACTCTGTGAGTTCAGGGACACATTTTTAATTTACTAGTGTATTTTTTACTTAAGATAATTCCTGTCACAAAAACACAACTGTTCTTTAAATAAATGAGTGAGTGAATGACAAAATAAGCCAATTAGTATGACAGTGGCTTACTAACTACTTCTGCCTTATTTCTAAATATGGTGAAGATAATTTCTATTGGTCCTTGTTAGCTCCAAAGAATTTAGTGCTTTAGTCCTGTGGCTCAAGAATAGACCCCAATCTCAATCTTACTTGATTCCTTACTTCTTAACCCATGGTTAAAGCCATCCTATAATTCATCATCTAGGAGATGTCTTTAAAAGTAATCACATCCACAGTCAAGACCAACAAAGGCAGATCTCAACTCTTCAGTTATCTAGGGCATTCCTGCTAAGTTTTGCTTCTGTGAGACAGTTCTTACCAGAGTGATCAACATTATTGAGGACCTAGTTCTTTAGGTGACATATCCTACATGCAAGAGTGTAGCTTTTCTCTACTAATCCAACCCTTTCATTTATCATGACTGAATATTCTAGCTACAAATCATACTCATTACCCTATGCCTTCATGTTTTTGTACTTGCCTCATGTAAACATTTCTCTTCAACTGGATAATTCCTGTTTGTACTTTAAGATTCATCAGATTTTTCTCATCAAAGATGTTATTCTTTGAATTAGGTCATCTTCTCTCTGCTCGCCCCTCAATTAAAATACCTTTGTGCTACTGATATGATTCGGACATAGATTTATTCTGTCCTTTAGACCCTATATTCCTCCATGGAAATGCATATGTCAGTTTTATTTGTGTTCTAAACACAGTGCCTGATATATTTTAAGCAATCAGTGTTAAACTATTTTTTATGTCTGTGAAAATTTGAAGCCAGGTTCAGTACATATCACCTAGCTGTGATTTGTCTAAATACTATATTCCTACTATGGACAGTCACAGGACAATTTTTGCTAAGTGGTTTCTGTAATTCTAAAAGTAGCTATCAAAAAGGAAATGGAGAAAATGTTTAAGTCAATAACATTAAGAGAATAAGCTTTGCCTTTCATAAATGTTACGTTGCAGGGTGTAGTCTATGACTCATTGGTTTATAGTCATAAAGAGATCATTTTGAAACTTTCTTTTAGAAAGTGGACCGTAACGCAGGCAAATCTTATGCTGATGGAACATCTATCCATGGGTATATTCCTTATTGGTGCATATATATGTATCTATGCTTTATATTATATACTTAAATATATACTTTATACTTTATATTATATACTTAAATATATACTTCATACTTAATACTTTATATTATATACTTAAATATACTTTATATTATATATTATATAATTATATGTTACATTGTGTTATTAAATATTTTATATTATAATATACAATATATACTTTATATTATATATTATATGTATTATATATACATATATAGATACATATGTACACACATCCCTTTTACTGTTTATTGCTATATACTCTTAAAATATAGGTGGAAGTATAGCACTCAAAATATATGTATTAAATAACAATGGAAGAACCACACTGGTCACTGACTGACTTACTTTTCTAAGATTTCTTATTTTGTGATATACAGAAAA